CCATGCAGCTTGTAACTTTCTATTCCCCGTCTCCCCTCCCTCTGCTAGGTTGTAACTTTCTATTCCCCCTTTCCCCTCCCAATGCCATGCAGCTTGTAACTTTCTATTCCCCGTCTCCCCTCCCTCTGCTAGGTTGTAACTTTCTATTCCCCCTTTGCCATGATGTGATTTTCTATTGGTTTATTTGTAGAATGCTGTGAACCACCTGCCCCTTCTCCCCCCCCATGCCATGCAGCTTGTAACTTTCGATTCCCCGTCTCCCCTCCCTCTGCTAGGTTGTAACTTTCTATTCCCCCTTTGCCCACCCTTTGCCATGATGTGATTTTTCATTAGTTTACTTGTATCATGTGTGATTATATATGCCTTCTGATACGCTCCTTTTTGATGATGCTGTAAGTAACTTTTCTAATAAAAGAGACCTTCGATGTTCATTCGAAGCTCGCTCATCCCGAGGAATTCTGCCTGGTGTTTTCCTTTCAATTCGGCCAAGGACACATGAGCGGCCCTCCAGTGTGGCAACAACGCCGCAATGGATCTGGGTTTTTCTCTGCAAAATCACCTGGTGGCTGAAAGTCAGGAAGCGTGACGGATTCAAACTGGACCATCCCACGAGAGCTTTTGCAAAGAATCTGCACCTTTCTCCTCCACACAGGCAGTCCTCGACCGAGCCCAAAATCTCCGTTGTTAAGCGAGACGTTTTTGGCCCGTTTTACAACCTGTAGCCACAGTTGTTAAACAAATCTCTGCCGTTGATAGTAACATGGTTGTTAAGTGAAGCGGCTTCCCCACTGACTTTGCTTGTCAGGACGCTGCGATGGTCATAAGTATGAATCAGTTGCCAAGTGTCCGGATTTTGAGCACGTGATCCTGGGGCTGCTGTGAAGGGTCATAAAATTACTTTTTTTTCATTATGGCTGCAACTTTGAACGGTCGCTATAAGTGAACGGGTGTAAGTCGAGGACTACTTGTATAAACTTATGGCTGGCTGGGGAATCCTCTCCCCCCCATGAGGGTGAGGGTGGTAGCGGTGCTTCAGCCCAAAGGAGGCCGTGGCTGGCCTTGGGGGGGACTTCCTTGGCTGCTCCCCTCATCGCGGGTCGCCAATCTTCCCCTCAGGAAAACCAGGGACCCCGCAGGAGCCGCTTTCGCCGAGCGGCAGCCGCTGAGGAGAAAAACAGCCGGAGAGGGGGCCCTCCATCTTGCCGTACGGGAAAGCCCGCGCGCGCGCGCGCACAGAGGCCACGCCCCCTCCTTAACCCGGCCATTTCCCGGCCCTCCGCGCGCGCGCCGCCATCTTGCTTTACGGACGGCGCGCTTCCTTCCCTGTGTTGGGCCGGGTCCTCGCTGGGCGTCCCCTCCCCCTCCCTCCTTCCCCCCTCCCTCCCTTAGGTGTCCTCGTGAAATGCCCGCCGCGCGCCTCGGCTGGGCCCCAAGATGGCGTCGATGCGGGAGAGCGACACCGGCCTGTGGCTGCACAACAAGCTGGGCTCAGCCGACGAGCTGTGGGCGCCCCCGAGCATCGCCTCGCTGCTCACCGCCTCGGTCATCGACAACATCCGCCTCTGCTTCCACGGCCTCTCCTCGCCCGTCAAGCTCAAGCTGCTCCTGGGCGTCCTCCACCTGCCCCGCCGCGCCGTCGACGAGGTGAGGCCGCCCCTCCTGAGGCGAATTCTCTTTCGGGGGTGGGGGTGGGGGGCTCCCCGTCCTGGCCTCGTGGGGGGGGGCGCTCCTGTGTGTGTGTGGGGGGGGGAGTGTCGGTTGGAGGGAAAGAGGATCTGATCGGGGGGGGGGGGGGGGGGCCGGGGGGGGGGTCTCAGCCGGGCCTTCCCGGGTGGGCAGCGGCCGGACTGACCCTCCTGCTCCGAGGCCTTGTGGGGGTTGAGGCCAAGATCCCACTGGCAGCCCTCGAAACACAACCGCCCGTTTAGTGACCGTTCAAAACTGGAACGGCACTGAAGAAGGGAATTATGACCGATTTTCAAACTTAACGGCCGTTGTAGCAAAAAAAAAAACAACCCCCAAAACGGCTCATGTGATCAAAATTGGGACACTTGGTGGCTGACTCCTATTTATGACGGCCAGAGTCTCTTTTTGCGACTTTCTGACAAGCGAAGTCAATGGAGAAAGCTGGATTTGCTTAACAACCAATGTGACTAACTGAACAACTGTGCTGATTCACTTAACAACTGTGGCGGGAAAGGTCGTAAAACCGGGCACAGTTAACTTAATAACGGTCTTGCTTAGAAACGGAAACATTTTGGCCTCACCTGTGGTCGTAAGTCAAGGACCGCCTGCGTAAACGTGGATGCCCCCCCAAGTGTTGATGGGGCCACCCGAAGGCCATTGGGGGGTGGTGGTTATTCGTAGTCCAGCCTGTTCCTCAGCCCCTCCAGAGTCATCTTAAGGGCCAGGGGCTTCGTGAAGGGGGTGGCCGGTGGAAGATCTGGGGGTCCCTGGGCTTCAGGGTCTCGTGCAACGAAAGGTGGTGAGGATCGACGTTTTCTGTGCTGTTCCTCCTTTTGTGGGGTGATCTCCTTTGCGGAGGAAATTTGGAGCAGGACCATCCGAGGAACGGCAGCGCCTGGCTCTTTCCCTTGATTTTGGAGAAGCTCATGGCTCTGTGGAGGGGAGACCACCAGGAAGCGCCCCAGGTTAGACTGTGATGCTGAGAATTCAGGAGAAGAGGACACCCAAGGTGTACGGGTTCAGAAGTGGTGGCTGCAAAACTTGTACCTTGGTGCAGCTCCGGTAACATCTTCCAAACCGGAATGGGTGTTTTCCTGTCACTGGGACTGCCGTAAAAAGAAATCCCTCTGCCAGGCAGCTACAGACAGGGGGCCAATGCCGGCCCAAGGATTTCTTGGAGGCCGAGGGTGGAGGTGTGATCCGTCAGGTTGCCTGGCTCAGGAGCCATAGGTAGCAGATCAACTCCCCATGGAATCGCAAGGACTCGGGTGGTGAGAGGCCAGAGCCGGACAGAATGCCCATTTCCAAGATGGGGCAGCAGCTTCAGACACCAAAACAAAAGAGACCTGCTTTATTCCTCAGGAAGCGAAGCCCTCAGTGGCCCTAACCTTTGGCTGGGCTACTTGAGTGGCCTCCAGAGATCACCACTCTCTTGGGAAGAACTCTCTGATGTTGGCCTTCTATTCCTGCATTGTTTGCCTCCTGATCTCCTCGTTGACTCTCAGTTTTGCAACCCAGAGCAACATATGGAACTCTCTGCCAGTTGACTGGACTCTCACCAGTCCTGCTTGCCCCTCTGCCTCGCCCTGTTTTGAACTGATGCCGCATTGGCCTTCTAGCACTCCTATATGCCTCCCTCAGCTGCGTCTCTGGACTGGATTTCTGATTAGCTGCATCTGGGTAGCAGGCGTGATGTCGCTTTTCTGTGTATTTCCAAGTATGTGTGAGTCTGCTCAAATAGCTTTCGACCTGCCTTTGGGTTTGCCTGGCACAAGTACACTGGCTGCAACTCGCTCCTCAGTGTTTACTCAGCCTGGAACAAGACAAAGTATATTTCCTACTACAGGGCCAGATAAGTACCGCACACCTGTGCTTGCAAACAACTTTGGTCTTGTTGGCACAGAAGTGATGTGTACATGTCTGGGTAGTCATATGGCCTTTGACTTTGCATTCCAGAAAAGTCATTTCTTAGCAATCCAGGTTGTCTGTTTCTTTCTCCTGTTTCAGCATCCCTCCCTCCCTCCCTTGGACAGGTTGATCAAAACTGCCTCCTTAACAGGGTTCCTCTTTGGATTTGTTGGCATCACAGTTCCTATGCTTCCAGTCTTCATGATGGATCATATGCTGGTTTGGGAAAATGAGGGTGGTTACCTACAGTATTGCTCTTGATAGAGATGCGTAGATTAGGGGAGGCTAGTCTAGATGGCCTTGAAACACTTGGCGAAGGGAGCATTTGCCTGGGAATTCTGTTTGTAGCCTCCAGCGTTTATCATCCTGAATTCCTTAGAGGAAATGTAGACTATAAATATTCAGTGAGTCATTCTACCCTACTAAGAAGCAGGTAGAATAAATATCCAACTGTGTTAAAAGGCCTGGATGAATAAATAGTTCTTACCTAGTGCTCTGAATTCTTGAAAAAAAAAGTTGAGAATAACTTGTTTCTTTCCTACATAATGAATTGTAGATGAGCAGATGCACTTTGTGTCCAACTTTTCTGGCAGAAACCTGGCCTGGAAACAAGGAACCAAATTTTGGGAGCTTGGACTTTTATTAGTGGAAAGATGAAAGTGTTCCAATGAGTCCTTACCTTTACAGGTGGGCGAATTAAGGTAGCTCAGTTCTCATGATCTTCCAACGCCCTGGGGAGGCGACTCGGCCTCCACCTGTAGGTTGCTTGGAAACAGCCGGTGTCGCCTTACGAGTGTTGAGAATCTTCTCTCCCTGTTTGGTTCAGGAATACACTGAAAGTGCATATTTTGCTTTAAAACTGCTTGTGTGAGGAGGGTGCAGCTATTCGGATCCAAAGCAGAAAAAAGGGGCTTTGAGGAGGCTGAGAGAGCACTCAAGTACACACATCTTTAAAAAAAACAAAAAAAACACTAGTTTTCTGGGCTCCCATGATAGCCATGCAGTCCCAGGGAAATGTGAGTTAAAGATTTGTGGGAAGCAAAGTCCTGGTGCCCTGCCCACTGTCTCCTTAATTCCTATTTTTCCCCTCTCTGTCCAGCTGCAATGTAGACCCAGGGCTAGAGGGGGGGAAACCCACCAAGGCATAAAAACAAGAAATGCTTCCCACTTCCAGAAAAGCACCTTTTCTGCTTTAGACCTAAGTGCACTGAGTTGGCTTCCATGCTTAAGGAAGACCATAACTCTGCCACACCAGATTTGCTCCTGCTGTTGTGTTGCATTATTATTAGTTATTAGTCCTTAAAAGAACCTGGATGAATCTCAGCCGCCAGTCCTGATCAGGAGACCAGGTAACTAGCTTGAAGGGAAACCAGGGCAGGAATAGAACCATGGAGATTTTATGAAGGAGCTGTGGAGCTGATCACTTGGCTTTGGGGAAAGGTTGTTGGGCTTGAATGAGCAGGAGTGTGTGACTTGGAAAGGGGCCAGGTAAGTGGGAGCCTATGGTCAGAAGGAGGAAAGAGAAGAGCCAAGAGGAGTGGGGGGAAGGTTTAGTAGAAGGAGGACCAGACCATCCTTGTGCCCTGCTAAGGGTTGGAATCCTAAGGTAGACCTGTATAGGATTGAGTACCATATACCTTCCCCCTTGAAGTATGCTTTTTACATACTTTACGCTTGAAATCTTGTCTCCCTTGGCTGAAGAACCAGGGGAAAGGCTGCAAGCCAGTTTTCAAGAGTACAGAGGAAGGCTCATTAAAGAAGGGGAAGAGAGATCTCCTAGGAAAGCAGGGTATCAACTGTTGGTCCAGGAGTGTAGGATGATCCCAGGAAGGATGAAAGTGTCCACATCGGATTAGTAAATACTTAGCGGAACTTGGCAAGAATTCTAGGAGTTGACGTTTGGGCCTCTTAAAGTTGCCAAGGTTGATAAATGTTGGTCTAGAAACTATGGCACTCCCACAAATGTAACCAACAGTATGGATCCGTTATGTAGGTGACACCTTCATCATCGTAAAAAATGGAATAAGTAGAGGCGACACATGAAACGACAACATCTTCGAAGAATAACATTCACAAGGAAAGAAGAAAACAACAACATACTACTTTTCCTGGATATCTTCAGCACCAGAAGCAGCAACAGCAAATTAGAAATGTTTCAAAACTCCCAGTAACCAAGTGCTCCATTGCCAAAGTAACACCCCAGCTTCCCTCAACAGGTGTTGGGCAAGAACATTGTCCTGACGAGCTCAAAGGCGTTGCAGCAATCCAGAATGCCAGAAAAAGGAAAAAGGTATCTATACAACTTCCAACAAAATGGATATGCAACTTCATCAAAACCCACTGCAGCATAACCTGTTACAACAGATTGTGAAAAGGATAATGCTACACATAAAAATAATAATAATAATAATAATTCAGAAACGGCCAAAAGACCTTATTAGAATGACACACGCAAGCCAACTACTAAAGTTCTCCAAAACATCTTAAGTAAACCAAAAGAGCCACGGGGCCAAGGAGAAAGAAAAAAGTCACCTACAACGTAAGTGCAAAGACTATAACAGGGCTAAGTAGGTCAGGCAGGCTTAAGATTAGCAGAGTGCATCCATGTACACCAACCGGCAGTCAGAAGATAGGATAAAAACCTCTTAATTGCACAGGATGAGGACAAATTTCACCAAAGTTTCATCATGGAGACGGTGAGCATTCTAGACCAAATAAAATCCAAAAACACTAGAGAATTTCTGGAAGTCTGGCACTCAAACAAATCACCATCAACAGGCACATGTAAATATAAACTACATTTATATACTCTTCAAAATAACCGATTAAAAACAAAGTAAGAATACATCCTCGCCAGCAGCCAGATAAGCAGGGATTAACACCAGAAAACAACACCCTAATCAAGGAACTAACAAGGAGAAAACCATACTCCCACTGATACTGGCAGAACAAGCTACAAGGAGCAAACCTCACGCTCCCGTCTTTCTGATGATGTTACCCAGCTGGGTAGTGAAATGTACTCTAGTTGTATATAATGTATATCACCCCCATTTCATCAGAATATAAACTGAACTCCTTCAGGAGGCCTTCTCACTCTCATCCACTCCAAAGACCCATGTGTTGCATTCCGGATACCTTTCAATAGAAGGTCCAGAATTCCCAACCAGCCTGCTTAAATCTTGCCTGCAGGGCATTCTGATAACCGAATTCCATCTGTGATTAGGTCAGCTCCGGATCTGCCGCTCTTTTGCGAGGCCCTAAAAACTTGGGTTTCTGCCAGACCACGGAAGTGTGATGCAGCCTCCCCCCCCCCCCCCCCCGGCTGGCAAGCCAGCATTGATAGGCCTGGGGGAGAGGGGGCTGCTGAATTTTTGAAAGAAAAGGAGGGCTTTCAGCCCTCTCTAAGCGGTTTACAGAGTCACTATTATCTCTCCCCCCCCCCCCCCCCGGCCGCCCCTTGGCTTTGGGGATGGCCATTTCAGGATGCTCGGCTGCTACGCGTTCTGTATTATTTGTGTGACTTGTTTTTTTATGTCTCCTATGGAGGAAAGCTTCCCAGAGTCATGGACAGGCGTGCTATGAATCAGATAAATCAAATTGTAGACTAATCTTATTTGGTTGGCAGCCAATATTTTGAATTTTAGAACTTTGAAATCAGATTGGGAGAGGATGCATATTCATCATATATTCAAATTGTGTGAATGGTTTCTTAATATAGTAACTAAAATTCAGGAGTCCCAAATGTGCTTTTCCAAAAGGCAACGGGACTTTCTTGAGTTCCCCCCCCCCCCTTTGAAAACAATTCGCTTCTCATCCCAGAAGCTTCTTTAGTTCTCAATGAAGAGAACTGAAGAGTTGAATAGAACCGAAGAAGCTTCTGGGATGAGAAGTGAAATGTTTTCAAAGGGGAAAAAAACCCAGAAAGCCAAGTTACCTTTTGGAAAAACACCTTTGGGACAACCATGACCTGGATGGTTGAGAATCTCCAAAGACATTTAAAATTCAGGCGCAACATACTGTATTTTTTTTCTGCAAATTTTGGGCAATGGGAGTGGAAATAATTGAATAATCTTAACTGCAACTGCAAATTGGAAAATAATAATACATGGCAATTGTATAAATTTATTGATTATGCCATGCTATACAGTAAATAAGAATACTTTCCTTTTCAAATTATTTCATTGTGAAAGACAGTTGGACTGCTATAAGAGCAGAAATTGAAATATTGGATTGTGGGGTTGCCGAATATGTAAAATATTTTAGAATTCATGAACTCTCTATTCTCAACTGGACTTCGTTTACATTTTCCTTCTTTGCATTGTGACATAATTGTCATCTGCATTTATAGCCAAAGTGGAGAAAGCATGTAAACGGTTTCACCTTCGGTTGTTTGGGAAAAGCAGCCTTTTAATTTGTGCCTCGAAGGTTGCTTCATCCTCAGTTAAAAAAGAAAAGATAGTTTTGATTACCATGGTGGCTCACTTGCGAGAAGAGGAGGAAGGCAGTTAAAGAAAACTTAAAACTTGTTTGAAAGGATAGATTAAACAGATGCTGAATATGTATTTATCCATATGAATTGGGAAAAAATCAACACCAGAACAAAATGAGGGCATAAAATGACATTTGGCAGGTAGCTAAACCTAATAATAATTACACCATAAAAACATTTATGTAGGAAGAAGCCTAAGAATTTGGATTACTTTCATCTCCTTGACTTGCCTGAGTTAAGAGTTTGATGAAGTCCAGTTGATGCTTCTCTCTGAGATGAATTTTCTTGGTTCCTGCCAAAACATGCCAGCTATAAAAAGCTAAATTTCATTTTCATGAATTGTTACGATAAAGCTAATGATGGACTGCAGCTTAGTTCTTTTCACATCTTTCATATCTAATCTGATACTTTTCCGTTGATGGGGAAACTTGCAGATGGCAGTTTCTACCAGCTGCAAAAACCAATGTCTGTTCTTTAAACAAATAGATGCTCTTGGCTTCTCACAGCCTTTGCATCATGTTTGACGGTAGGTAGATAAAGAGCATAATTCACTGATAAATCTCCCAGATTCAATTCTTGGGTTCTCAAAAAGGCGGTTCCAACAATGAAAGGCCAGTCTAGTTAGGATTCTGGAGTCCTGCAGGCCAGACGAGGAGGACTCAAAATAGTTTCATGGATTTTATGCAGCTTTGTTTTGTTTATTACTTTGGAAATAAGGTTGCAGCTCTCTTATAAAGCAGCTGTTTCAGTAATTCAGTCATATGTTGAAAACGTTGGCGATTCTGTCAGATAAGAAGCTTTATTGGGGTGCTGCTGCAGAGGAGTTGTGTCCCGTCCCCCCCCCCCCGGCTTGCTGGCTGTTCATTGCATGGAGGGTGAGAACGGAGTGGAGCCGGTGTTGGGATGAAAAGCCCAGCTCTGCTCCTGGGTCTCGGCACGGCCTGGTTCATCATTCATTGAGGGATGAAGGGATGAATCTGTCCTGTAGAGCTACAGAAAAAAAGTTCCAACTGATTTTGAGCGTTCCACTCTTAATTTTTCTTTCTTTCCATTAGATGAAAGGCGCCCTGACCGAAATTATCCAGCTGGCTACTTTGGATCCAGACCCCTGGGTGTTAATGGTGGCTGATATTTTGAAATCCTTTCCAGATATTGGCTCCCTTAACCTTGATCTGGAAGAGCAGAACCCCAATGTTCAGGATATCTTAGGAGAACTGCGTGAAAAAGGTAACCGTCTTCCTCTTTCCACCCAAACCGTAGCTTTGACGTTGCATGGAAGAAGCTAGTTTGGGAGGGAATGTCTGTGTATTATTAGCCAAAGGTAAAACACACAGTGTATCATTTGCAAATAGCTTCGGAACAGATCGGGCTTGTTCAACAGAGCCCCCCCTGTGTAGTGAGAGAAACCACAGAAGCAGGCGGCCTCTGATCTCTGGCTGATTCCCTCCGCTGCCTGAATGGCCCCCTGTGGATGAAGCTGCCTCCCTCCAGCGCTGTGATCAAAGGGGGCAGCTTTGGGGGTCCTTCCTGAAAGTTGCTTTCCCAGCCCGGCCCTCCCCGGTCGGCCTTTGGTGGATTACTAGAGAGCGTCTCAAGCGGAGGCAAACAGGTTTCCCCAGTTCAGCCGTCTTCTCCAGCCGCCTCCGGAGCAATGGATGGATGGGATGCCAGAGAACCTGTTTGGAACCAGGAAGTGAGTAAGCAGGAGACTGGCAGGATGCCCAGGGCACGCGCCACGAGGGGATTGCAGAACTGGCACAAGAATGGCTTGAGTGGAAGGGAAAACGTTTCTCCCTCTCGGCGACCCTGTTTAGGATCCGGTGACAAAAAAGGATGTGCCAAGGGCAGTGTGTCTATGGTGGCCGGGTGCCAGGTACTCTCTAGTGGTAAAGGTTTGCCAGTATCTGTGCAAAGGGACTCGGGGACACTTGCCAGAAGGAAAGGGGGGCTTCTCTGGACACCTCAACGTTGCTCCTCTTCTTCTCTTACATTTGGCAAGCAGGGGCCCGTCTTCAAAGTTTAAAATTGCTTCCCTGTATCAGTCTGTTGGGGGTGGTGGTGTACAAATAGCTGGAGCTTTTCCTGTGCCTAAAAGAACATCTGGGGTGTGTGTGTGACTCTTCTTGGCTTTTGGGTGCAAGGAGGCACGGTTGGTGCAAACTAGAATGAATGAAAATACTCAGACGGCTTTAGCTTTGTGTGATGATCTGTTGCATTCTGTGTGTAGCCCTGCACGGCTTTAGAAACGTCTGATGGAATTGCACACGTGTGATGCTCTGTGTTTGTATATAACATACAGCTGGGCTGGTTTTAATACGTAGCCAACTCGGTCTTGTGGTTAAGGAAACAGGCTGGGTGCCTTTGTCCCGCCTGCCGCCTGAAGCCAGCCGAGTGACCTTGGGCCAGTCCCTTTCTCTCAGCCCCCGGGAGGGAGGCAGTGGAAATCCTTCCAGAGAAAGGGCAGGGATTCGTCCAGGCAGTTGCCAGGTGTCAATACTGAGTTGAAGGTGACGTGGAATACTAATTGGAAGGGTGTTTGATCTAGGAGTTGTTTCCTTACCTTGAATTTGTCAATACATATAAATAATAACTCTGTATTCACCTTTGCAGCAGGAGTTGCATTGCTCTTTGTATCATGTGGTTGACCTGAGTTACAGGGCGGGGCATAACCTTTTCCTAGGGGGTCACAGCAACACTTGTAATAACAACACAAATAATTCATACACCATTCGAAAGCCCATCAAAAACTGAGTTTATTGACACGATTTAATAGTCAGTATGACCACCATTAGCCCTTCGAACAGCATTCAAACGAGGTGGATAAGAACACAACAAATCTTCAAACAGTTCCGTTCGATTTTCCAGATTTTTCAACACAGTTTCCAAATTCATTCTCAAAGTTTCAACCGAAACAAATTTAACATTTAATAGCTCATTCAATTCAGTTTTTTATGGGCTTTAAAATGAGGTGTCGCGGAAGTTGTAAACTGCTGTCGATCTTGCTGTGACCCCCTAGGAAAAGGTTATGCCCCGCCCTCTGGAAAATCTGGAAAATCGAACGGAACTGTTTGAAGATTTGTTGTGTTCTTATCCACCTCGTTTGAATGCTGTTCGAAGGGCTAATGGTGGTCATACTGACTATTAAATCGTGTCAATAAACTCAGTTTTTGATGGGCTTTCGAATGGTGTATGAATTATTTGTGTTGTTATTACAAGTGTTGCTGTGACCCCCTAGGAAAAGGTTATGCCCCGCCCTGTACTATCAGCTCAGTGTAGTTTCCCCCCCTTCCCCCCCCCCCCAAAAAGGCCCAAAGTGGTGGAACTCCTACCACTGACGACCCCCCCCTGCTTCCTTATGAGCAGCCCCCACTCCCGAATCCTCTGCTGAGCCTGCTGGTGTCTGGCCTGGCCCACCTGGCCAGAGCCCCCAATGGTCAGAAGTCCATAACAAGGAAAAGGCTCTCTGGCACTGACTTGGCTCAGGCTTGGTCCTGTCTCCTTTGGATTGTTTTCTTTTTTGGTCCCCATCTCTTGAGGTACTTTCCCAGTTGCTTCCTCTCCTGTAGCTCAATAAGGCGAAAACACTCCATGCAACAAAGAGGATAGAAATACAGGATTAAAACACAGGAAAAGGCACCCAAGAATATCTGGAGGCTCTGAATAAGTGAAGCAGAAGAAAACCTCTGATTTCTTTGCAGGGTTTGGAGCCCCGAGGCTCTCTGGAGGGAAAGGGGGTCAGAGGATTGTGGCCCCTCCCCATGGAGGTGCAGGGCCCCTCTCTCTTCTAACGGTCGCCCCAGTGGCCCCCGCCATGCTTTCCCCTGCCTGTCTCATGCTCAGTGGGGGCTCTTCTTGTTTGACACTTGAGAAAACTGAACTCCTTGCAAATTCTGTATTTTGATCTAGTGAGCGATTGTGAATCCTCAGCCATGTTGCCTTTGGAATGCCAGTACTTAAACAAAAACGCCTTGACCACCTTGGCCGGACCCTTCACGCCTCCCGTCAAGCACTTCCAGTTGAAGCGGAAGCCCAAAAGTGCCACTCTGCGAGCAGAGCTCCTGCAGAAGTGTAAGTAAGCGCCCCCCACCCCCTGCGCCCGGTGGCTCTTCTCCCAGGAGTAGAGGAGAAGCAGGCACGGAACAGCTCGACTTAACACAATTCTACTAAACACAACTAAAAGAAGTGATTTATGACGGAGGGCAGGGACCCCAATGCAGCAGAGAGGAGGTTTGAGCAAGAAATAGGCTTTTTCATGTCTGAGTGACAAAATAAAACCTCTACAAATGTTTGATTTCTTTTACAAAACTTCTTAAGTAAAAAAGTTCTTCCTTATTTGCATCTGACTGTCCTAGAAAGTAGTCTGTTCTCTTCTGTCCTGTTCTTTTCCATTAAAAAAGACCCACCCACCTCCCTGTGTGAAAAAAAAGGAAGTGCTTTAGATTATCTTCTTTTTGGATAGAGTCAAGTTAATTACTGCATTAAAAGCTTTCTTTGAAATTAATGTGTGTGATTTTCTTTCTTTTAAAGTTGGATGCTAAATAGATTTATATAATTTCTTTAGCTGCTGAAACTGCGCAACAGCTGAAGAAGACGGCTGGAGTAGCTTTCCATGCCAAAGGAAGAGGATTGGTTAAGAAGATTGACACAACAAGTAGGTTTTTCCCTCATTTTATACGCAATCGCCTTGAGCCTTAAGATAAATTGGCACTACAGTTGCCAATTGGTTCCATCCCTGGGTGGATATAACGAAGGCAGTAGATTGATGGGCTTTAAGGTTGGTGGAGAAAAACGCTCTCTGGAGAGAGAAAGTCGGGGCCCTCATTGAGTTTGCCAGCTCAAACTTTCTTTAGGGTGAAAGACAAGCAACGCTGAGCACCGATGGTTGTGGGAGAGTCCCACTTTGGGACTGGAAATGTCCTTCTCTGTTGCCGTTGAGGGTGCACCTGCCACCCAAAGGGAAGCCGGCTGTCTTGGGCTCTATAAGGCGCCCGTGGCTGCCAGCGTCTTTTGTCCCAAGCGGTCCCAGGGATGGGAGGTTTCCAAGCAAGGTTCCCCAAGGAAGGAAACGGGGGCCTTGCATCTCTCCTCTCCTCCTCCTCCTAAAGGGGGCCACTCTCTTCCACAAGCAGCAACGGGGCTCAAAAAGTACATTTTGGGGAGCCTTAATTCAGAGCCGGTCAGAAGAAGAAAGAGCCTCTTGCCTGATTACTTGTGGAGTAAACATTTTTACATGCGATGCCAGATCTGTCCTGGAGGAAGTTTGGCAGCTTCTTACCGGTCAGAGTAAAACCTCTCCATCGGGGCAGAGCCTCTGTGCACTTTGCCCTCTGTTGCTGTCCTTCCGGAAGTTTCTTTTTGCCGTCATCTGGATTGCATAGGACAGCAGATGGCAGGAGTCTGGCAGTCAGCGTAAGATGGATGGTGGCCATCGTCGTCATGGCTTCTCCTTACAAGAAAGGATAACTGGAAGGATCCCCAATCCTGGGGTCCCTGCAGGAGGAAGTTCTTGTATGATGGCCTCTCCTCTGGCCTCCCCGGAGGCCCCTTGGAAGAGACGAGAGCTCCCCGGGTCAGGATCTTCCTCATGGCAGAGTTCTTGAGGCAGAAGGAAGTTTCCTGGAAGCCCCTCGATTTGGTATCTGAAGCCTCTTCTGTCCGACGTGGCCTTTTATTCCCAGGCTCACCTGAGCGGCCTAGGAGGATCGATGGGAGGTCTGTGACCCTTGGGGAGGTCTGGCTTCAGAGACGCCATCATGCGCCTTCTGACCTTCACAGATGTTTCAGGGCAATCTGGGGTTTTTGCTGTAACGTTTTAGTTGAATCTTAAAAACGAGAGCTCCCAGGGCATGGAGGGGGTTCGAACACAGAGCCAATAATATTTCAAAGATTTTGATACTCTTCTTCACTGGAAATGGCCAGGAAGGTGGCCTGCCTTAACTCCTCCCCCTCTCTGTCTGCAGCTCCGCTCAAAGGAATACCAAAGCAAGCGCCCTTCAGGAACCCCACCGCCCCCATCGTCTTCAGCCCCACAGGGAACCGGACCCCCATCCTCTCCTCCAAAGTGCCTCTGTGCAAGGAGAGAGGCGTCAAGGTACCTGCACGTTTTTTCTTCTTCTTCTTCTTCTTCTTCTTCTTCTTCTTCTTCTTCTTCTTCTTCTTCTCCTCCTCCTCCTCCTCCTCCTTCCTCCTCCTCACAGGCCAGTGACCTCCCTTGGACCCTGTGCTGCTTCTCATCACAAACACCCAGTAATGTTCTGGTTTCCAGTTTTAGAAGCTTCTCCCTTCGGTCGTTCCGAGCACAAGGCCTGCCCTCAATGTAATTTGGCATTTCACTGGAGCTCCCTTGTGCCTCATAATGTGGTGGTAGAGTTCTTTCGTAATCTGTCTGAATGGCCGCTGGTGCAGTTCAGAATTTCCATGCAAACATGTTTACGTTAGAAAGGGGAGATCATTGAAGAAGCACCCCTAAAAGTAAGTTAGGTTAGATTAGGTTTGNCCGATGCCATGTAGGGCTTTATAGGTAGCGACCAGCACCTTGAAGCGGATTTGGAGACTAATAGGTAGCCAGTGGAGGAGTTTGCTAAATAAACAATCAACCACATGCTAACCTGCAAAATAAAACACTCAGGAATCATTGGATGATGTGATATTTCTTTCCTGTGCTTTTCTATTCTTTTGTTTTTGACTTATAACACATGACTGCTTCCATCATTTTTCCCCCCCTTTCCAAAAGGCAAGTATGCCATGCGGGACCTGGTTCACCGGCTTCCAGGAGGTAACAACAGTAACAGTTCAGCAAGCAAAACCATGTCTGATGATACCGTAACTGCCATCTGCTGCACCTTGCACGAAGTCATCACAAAAAACATGGAAAACGCCAAGGCCTTACGAGATGCAGGAGGAATTGAGAAACTTGTTGGCATTTCCAAAAGTAAAGGAGACAAGTACGTTTTGCCAATCATCGTCTGCCCGTTAGCTGTAATTTATAGTCGACACTAATGATATCCTTGAAGTCTTATCGTTTCTATTGCATGTTAGAATACTTCACAGATAATGGCAGAAGATAATAAGCAATCTCACATCAAAGTGTGTGGCACTTGTAGTCTTAATTTGGATCGGTGGCATTATATTGATTTATCAAAAGAAACTCGTCTTTTAATTTTTAGCTATTCTGGTCAGCAATCCAGAAGCTGATAATTGCAGTTGCTATTCAAAATAACAGGTTTGATCAAGAAAATGTTTTTAAAGTAATCCATTCCCAATATATTTGGGCTGCTGTCTGTGATGGTCAAAAAAAGAGTGGAATACATCAAGGTTAGAAGCAAATATCCAGAGTAAATAATATTTACATAATGCTGAGACGTTAGTGATAACTAAACTTATTATTTCTGCTGGGTAAAATGCTCAAAGAATAAAAATAAGCTAGGTAAGATGCTCGAAAATAAAAAAAAATAAATCCCAAGAACTTTGGGCTCACATTCTATCCAGAGGAAAAACAAATCACTGTTGTTAATTTCATAGCTGTAATCTGTATATTGTTGAGTCTCATTTTCCAGAATCTTTCTTATACATTCTGCCTTCCCAAATCCTTTTGTGTTTTCAAGTAAAAACCTATGGTAAACATTGAAAAGCTGCATGCGTATAAAATTCTAAATCAGGATTTATTGCAACCATACTTTCTCATATGTGGTTTGGTTTGGTTTGGTTTGGTTTTATTAGTTTTGTATGCCGCCCACTCCCGAAGGACTCCGAGCGGCTTACAATAAAACAGGGAAAGGGGAATAAATAAGACAATACAACAATTTAAAATACAACAACATTCACAATTGAAGTGGGGCTGGATACTTCAACAGCCCCCAGCCTGCCGGAACAGCCAGGACTTAGTAGCTTTACAGAAGGCCGGGAGGGTAGTAAGGGTCCGGATCTCAACAGGGAGCTCGTTCCAGAGGGCTGGAGCTGCAACAGAGAACGCCCTCCCCCGGGGAGTCACCAGCCGACATTGGCTGGCAGATGGAATCCGGAGAAGGCCAAGCCTATGCGATCGAATCGGTCTTTGGGAGGTAATTGGCAGGAGGCAGTCTCTCAGGTACCCAGGTCTGATGCCATGCAGGGCTTTATAAGTAACGACTAGCACCTTGAAGTGTGTCCGGAGACCAATGGGCAGCCAGTGCAGCTCGCGGAGGATAGGTGTAACGTGGGTGTACCTAGGTGCACCCACAATCGCTCGCACGGCTGCATTCTGGACTAACTGAAGTCTTTGGACACTCTTCAAGGGCAGCCCCATGTAGAATAAAGATGTCTTTTAATTATGTTTTTTTTTAATTCCCTAATAGGCACTCACCAAAAGTAGTGAAGGCAGCATCTCAGGTCTTAAACAGCATGTGGCAATACAGAGATCTGAGAAGTCTATATAAAAAGGTAAGACTTATTTTTCATGTTATCTATTAGTAAGTTACAATTTCTTGGCTAGGAACTTTACCATGAAAATTAGTAATGAATGAATCTAACATTTGAAAAGCCCTGAAAATGTTACTACCTCTTCCAAACTTTCCCCCTAATTTCAGTCTGCCATATGTCGATACAGCAAGGGTACCAGATTTTGTAGGCAGATGTCATAGTTTTATTTTAAAATGGATTTTTTGTAAAAGCTGAAGCCTTGTCCTTACGAAATTCAAATATAAATTATAAAAAAAGGCAAGTTAAGTTTATGATATGGTTAGGATAAGAGCCGAGGTGGCGCAGTGGTTAAATGCAGCATTGCAGGCTACTTCAGCTGACTGCAGTTCTGCAGTTCGGCTGTTCAAATCTCACCGGCTCAAGGTTGACTCAGCCTTCCATCCTTCCGAGGTGGGTAAAATGAGGACCCGGATTGTTGGGGGCAATACGCTGACTCTGTAAACCGCTTAGAGAGGGCTGAAAGCCCTATGAAGCGGTATATAAGTCTAACTACTATTGCTATTATCTTCTTTAGGAAAAAAACAAAGAAAAATGAATGTTCACTATGCATAGTAGAACATGAGCATATCTTACAAAAAGTTTGTTGGTATAACCAACAAACTGTCCAGAAAGGTGAATGCTATTAAGGATCAGAAATAATCTTAAAACATATCCTAAATGGCACTCTAATTGGGATCTATGATTTTTAATATAATGTCCAAAATATAACTTATATGGATGGAATTTTTTTTTTACTACTCTCTTGTTTGATCTAAGTTTGGGCTCTGTTTTAAAAATCTGAACCGTTGGTATTTTTTTTTTCTTCCCATCTATTTTACTATGGGACACTGTAAGGAAAGCAATGAAGAACTATCTCCATTGCTTTACTAATAGATTGCTTTTTGGAGCTAAAAGAGGAATACGTTATTTGATAGTTTTTATTAATGTAAGTTATTCTAGAGTATCTCCAATATACGTTAGACAAGTTTGCCCATCTCTAAAATCATTTTTTCTTCTTTAATAACATTTGTGTAGATAAAAAGAACATCTTTACTGAAAGATTGATCTTGTGCTTGAAGGCAGCAATGATTTCATTCTTGTATTCCATTATGGTATTTTTAAATGTTCCATTATAACTAGAATAATTGCACCATTCTGCAAATATACACTGTTTCAAAGGCACAAACTGGGGATTTCCTAAAATCTTTAACAAAAAGATTTATATTAATTGATTAATTTAATTAATCAGTGCCACATTTGTCCCATATACACATCAGCATTGAAGAATAAGCTCGCTTCATTTTAGCTATACTGGGGCATATTTTCACAAGAAAACTTTGAACTACACAAGGAAAAAAGATGTAGATCCTAAATATTATAGATTGGAGAGCCACATTGCAGAAGGAAGAAATAGCAAACAAAGTTTCCATTTCTTTTTTTAAGCATGTACATCAGCCAAAGAAGTTTTATGTGCAAAAAGAATCTCTAAATTATTTGAGTAGCAAAATGGCAGCTGAGATTCAGTGAAAATAAGTGCAAACTCCTAACCTCATATGTTCATTCATAAGATATCAGTTAGCTGTAATACCTAAGTGTAAGATCTTAGAGGACATAACTCACTGGGGTGGATCAAATGATGTCCTTTGCTGACAATAGAAAGACACCTTTATGCCATAAAGGAAGATTCAATATTAGGTTCTTTTAGATTTTAAGAAAGACAGCATATATCACAAGTGTGTGTATCTGTTATAGAAATCAATACCCTGTAGAATATTGGCCCTTTCTTTTTTGAATTGTAAAATTGCTGATAATATAGTGAAGAAATGAGTAAACTGATTAATTTTTCTTATATAGCAAGAATCAAAAACAAAAAATGGGTAAATATATTTAGGCAAAATGTGCAATTGTAGCAATATATAATGTTTTGAATTCAATACTACAAAAGTGGATGCCTACCAAAAGGATTTAACTTGATTGACGGTTTTGATAGTTTCACTGAAGTTTCAAGTTTAGAAATAAATTCTAAATAAGTTCTAATTAAAAAATGCTGGGAGTAAAAATGCAGAAGGCTGTTACTATCATGGCCTGCCTATGCACCATTCATGGTCATCTGATTGGCTGCTGTTTAAAGCAGAATACCAGAATATTGTTGTTGACTTGCCTATGTAAATTTAAATAATGAGCTTTTTATGTTTTCATATCTTGAATTGGCTTGTCAAAACTTCTCTTTCTCACACACATGTACACACTGCATCATCTACGTGAGCAAACAACTCAGTGGGATTTGTTTTTTCATTATTTGATCCTTTTGTCTCTTGATCCTTAAAGTTCAATAAATAAAGAAGTTACTCTGTTCTCCAATGATCTTCCTATAAATGAGACTGAAGAAGGAAAATGTGCAACAGTTGTGATTGGCATGTTCAGTTGTGAAGAAGACAAATACCAAGTTGGTTGAGACAGTCTAGTTCCTCAGCTTCTGTGCTGAGAACAGTGGAAATAATTTCAATTGTAGGGTTGACTGGATATCATTTATTCATGACTGACATCTCATTAATTATTGTCATCTTTGACTAAGTTAGCAATATTTTAGTTTCTCATTTCAACATTCACTTCACATTTGATATAGTTGAACAGGAATATTCATATTATTTTAATGGTGCTCAGGGATCTTTGGTTCCCCTGACTGCTACTTCTGTGCATCATTGTCCTTTCATTTTCCTTACCTTCCCCATTCCCTTCTTTTTACTATACATATTTCAACTTAGTCATAAAATGCTCCTTCCCATTAAAAAGTGTGCAGTCTCATTTTGAATTCCGTGCAGCTTCAATGTAGTTTTTGAACGAATTTGAATATAGAGTATGTTTTGTAATAAGCCAGCCTGGCTGTTATCAAAGCCTTATATTACAATAATCAAGTCCACATTCTCTAGAAGCGTTAGCTGGGATACCCTCTTGAAACCAGGATAAAGAGATGGCTGTAGAATCAACTTCAGACTGTGAAAGTGATCCTTTAGAACAAACACAGTCTTATCCAGTTTAGTGTGGCTATAAATATGAAGGGCAGTCTGATCCAGAGGTGGGTTCCTACCAGTTCGCACCAGTTCAGTAGAACCAGTTCGTCAAGTCTACCGAACCGGTTAGAAGAGGTTCCACCAGTGGACCCGGAAAGCAGGCCACACCTACAGAAGAGGTTCCAAAAATTTTTGAAACCCACCACTGATACATACACACACACACACACACACACACACACACACACACACACACAGACTCACACAGAGAGAGAGAGAAAGGAAGAAATAAATAAAGAAAGAAAAAGAAAAAGTGAGAGATGAAAGAAAAAAAGGGACAGAGAGACAAAAGGAAGGAGAGAAAGAAAGAAAGAAAGAAAGAAAGAAAGAAAGAAAACACATGGCCAGTAAGCCACTCCCACCAGGTCACATGGGCAGCAAGCCACTCCCACAAAGGAGGCCACACCCACAGAGTAGGTTCGGAAAAAAATTGAAACCCACCACTGGTCTGATCGCTCAAAAATGTCATCTTCCTTGTATTTGGACTGAACG